GTGATAATAAAACTATGTTATCAGAAATTGGCACCAAGAATGCAAATACGGCTAGGACAATGGAACTGTTTTTTCGAGACGACGGTCGACTGTGTTTCGCTAGACGACTATCCCACTTGATAATTGGCATTGATAGATCACAGGTGACATTGGGGGATGAGAGCTGCGATTAAAGAAAGAAAAGGAAAAGAAAAAGATAATTTTTTTTGAGCAAGATATATTTTTTTCCCAAAACAAAGCCAGCCGGATGACACCCACCCGGTTGCACGCCATTGGCTGAATGACAACGAGGGCCAGGCGGAGGTGATCACATGACGCAAGGGGGAGAGCCGCCGCCGCCCATTTAGAGGATAGGTATGAGAAGTTGCTACGAAGAAGTGGGGAGAACCGTTGACGCCCCTCTGAAGTATGGTGAGATATCCATATGAGAATAAGAGAAGGTGGGAGTAATAGAAGACTTCCAAAAATGGAAAGGAGTGGAAAATTCCCAACCAAAAATAAAAGAAGTGGATATGGATTTAGAATTATCGAGGAACATCCAACCCCGACAAACCCACCCCGGTTTTGGTCGGCGTCCATATAAGCAAAGTCGCAGCGAGCAAAAATCAGTTCAGTTCAGTTCAATCCAAGTTCCAGTTCATTCCAGAGTCTCCAGTGCTCCAGTTGAAGCAGTCCTCGCATCAGCTGACTAAGATTCACGCAACTTCGAACTCATCTTCAATCCAAGAACAATTTATTTTGAAGAGCGACTTAGATCCATACCACCAAAATAAGTTTTTCGACTATCGCCTGAAGACACACCAAGAACCAATTTAAGATGTTAAAACTCACCTAACAAGAACAACGTGTCACAATCCATATAGCGGGTCGGGAGATAGACGCAGTCCTATGTATCCAGCAACCAGATATAAAGTATTGTTATCCTTTTTTTGATACCTTGAACTTTTGAGTTATCATTTTATTTTATTTTATGCATATTTGTGTGATACCACCCTCGTTTGAACTCAATTTGCATTACGGCCCCAACGACTGATTGATTTCGTCTGCCTAAGATCAATTCACAACGTGGGTAGGCGAACTAGAGATCAACGCAGTTACTTTGGTAACCAGACGTTGGAAGCGATTCGGGAACGACGAGGCTGATATCGAATCTAACCAGATTCCCATCCGAATCACCAAAAGGTTAGAACGTCACATTTGGGTGCCACGACCAATACCAAGCCAGTTGGTCGTCACAGGACGGGACAACACGACTGACGCAGACAGGCGGACGTCACGTTTGGAGCGGCGACACCCGAACGAAGCAGCGAGGAGAAAGAGAAGGCTGTGTTGAGGGACGTCACAGTATCACAGCTGATCAGTGTGTCTAGACGTACGGTTGCCACTAGCTAGGATCTAATTCCAAAAAGTTCTGAAATGTCAATTCCGATTGAGCGGAGAGGATCGTTCGTTTAGCAAGTAAAACCAATAAAATCGACCTTGCTAACCGAACGATCCTCTGTGGCAATATATATATATATATATATATATATATATATATATATATATAGGTAACTATACACGTTTTTTTGTAAAACCCTCAATTTTGATTTGCCAATAATTAAATCAATCTGGAGGAAAAAAATGTTTTTAAAAAAGAAAGACCTACAAAACATGAAAGTCTGTCGAAAAAAATCGCACAGATTTTCCCTGACGATGCGCTTAGGTGAAACCTGGGTAGGTTTGTCTGACTCACTCACTATATATATATATATATATATATATATATATATATATATACTCTCTATCACACACTCACACATGCACATATATACACACACACACACACATATATATATATATATATATATATATATATATATATAATTTCGGTAGTAATCATTGGGTTTTATTTTTTTTAATTATAAGAGGTTGGTAAATGAAATAGATTCGACTCTTAAATTAGGAGATGTTGTTGACAGCATGCTCCGAAAGGCATGAGATATTTTTCGGTAGAAAGAGCAGTGGAGTGGCGCTAACGATGTAAGAGGTTCAATTTCCTGTGTCAGCCTGTCATCGTTGAAAGTTAATCACAAATCTCTAGTGAATAGGGTGAAAAAATAACGGAATTGACACTTCAGAACTTTTTGGAATTGAATGTTAGTTCGAGAGATGATTAGACAGAGAGAGAGAGAGAGAGAGAGAGAGAGTGGGGAGAGGGAGTGTGTGAGGGAGAGACACACAGACAGATAGAGAGACAGAGAGACGATGATTCAATTATTCACGTGATTTCTTGTTTCCTACGCAACACCGCTCAATAAATCAGCAACAGAAATGACAGACACTTGTGGAGATCCGACCTCTTCAATCGGGATTTCTATAGACTCGCATTCTTTCTTTTCTTTCGATGCAATACCTAACTACCTACATACCTATCTACTTATGTCTCTGTCTCAATTTGTTCATATCTATCTATCTATCTATCTATCTATCTATCTATCTATCTATCTATCTATCCTAGTTGGCACATATCTATGTATTTTTTATGTGTGTCCCTTCCACTGTCCCTCTTATTACCAAGAAATAAATCGAAGTCAGTACCGCAGACTTTCTTTTTTTTTATTACATTCTGGCGTGACATTTCAACCATTAACTCTAAGTGAATTATATCAATGACGTCATGTATCGAAAGCTATTTTAAGATGCATATAAAATTTTAAAAACATTTCAAAGTATACAATACGATACTCGGCTTCTAGTCGTGTCAATCACTCAGAAATCGTTTTGTGTATGACGTCACTCATAAATGAGCTTTAGTTTCTCTGCGGTTTACATTTTCATTTATTTATTTATTGTTAACTTTCTCTGCGGTTCGTTCCCTTATTTGTTTTCTGTTGCCGCTTGCTTTTGCCCTCACTGTCCACTTTTATATTTACATACGCTTTGGCTCCGATAATGAGCACTTCTGCCCATAAAAGGAGCATACCTCAAAACTATATATATATATATATATATAGAGAGAGAGAGAGAGTATTACTGGTTAACATATATATATATATATATATATATATATATATGTGTGTGTGTGTGTGTGTGTGTGTGTGAAAAGTGTATATAAATATAAACAAATATATATATGTATAATTATTCATATATTATATGCTCGGTACTTATTAGAAAGCGCTGAATATCAGAGATAGAGTTGACATATTTGGTTGGATAGATGTGAGTTTGTGACCCTGGGTTTTACGCTTTTTGCGATCGTCAGACAAACTGATTAATTTTTTTAAAAAATTGAGTTTATGTAGATTGCGTTTATTGGTGTTATTGTGGAAGTGGTGGGGGAAACTTCGTCGTTTTGTCATCGTACTGACGCGAACATCGATATATGCAGACACATATGCATACATACATGTATATGTGTCTTCATACATCAATGTGCAGACACATATACATACATACATGTATATAGGCTTTTTCTCCAAATGAGGTGATTTAAACTATACTGTTTATTAATATATATATATATATATATATATATATATATATATGTGAAAATATATAGAAAATAGGAAGGAACTGGTTAGGTAAATAATCCAAAGTCCCTTAGTATTTTAGTTATTATTTTTAAAAAATAGTGCTCGATACAAAAGTAGAGCATAAATATAATTATTTATTTAAAAATATGATTCCAAATCGCTACATAAGAGGTCTCATGTTTCAAAACTAGAGCCGAAAACTTCAATATAATCCTTTAAATTAAATTGAGTTGAAAGTAAAATGGGCTCCGTTCCATCCTCAAGCGAAATTTTTGTTGGAATAACGTATATCTGAAATTTACTTGTTTTAAAATTGAAATCAAAATCCCCATGGTAACAGCTAGGGTGAATTTTCTAAATTGGGTAGGCGAGTGAGGTGTTTATATTGAGTAGCGGTATAGAGATACTTTCAAGGTGTCAAGTCGGGGAAAGGTGGGGTGTCAAAAATGAAACGGAAGATGTATTGGCCATCGTCTAGTTTGATTGTCTATGGAGATTTATTTATTTATTTTATTTTATTTTATTATGAAAGGGATTGTGCATATAAAAAGAAAAAAAAAAAAAAAAAAAAAACTTTCGTAACGTTTAGTTTTTTTGATGACTTCATAAAGGGTTATCTTATATGTAAGGTATTTAAACTAGTAATTTAGGCTATGGATTATGAAGTGTGTTATGTAGTATGCATGTTTGTAGTTAATTATTCCTACTATGAATCTGATGATTGGGCTATTTGTTAAACAAGTTATATAATTTTTTTTTTTTTTTTTTTTATCTAATAATTCAAACCAAAAAGTCTGATGATGCCTACAAAAACCGTTAACTCGTGTCTATTATTTAATAGATTATTATTATTTAGAAGTTTAATGATGTGCAATTTTTCATGGAGGCACAAAGGGCATGGGTCATCCCAAGCTTTACATATTCTGGCCTTGTCAATGATTTTCCATTTAACTTTTGGTGTCTTATTTGTTTCCTTCAGGTGCCAAAATATTTTGATAGTGAAGTCTGATTTCGTTTGTTTATATTATTAAAGGAGCACTTATGCTGCCTCCATCTATCTTTAAAATTATTCTGCGTGGACCCAATGTATATCATATTAGTGCTAGGGCTCTCTGTGGATGAAATAGTACATTGGTATACCACAGAATTAATACAACATTTATTTTCTAATGGGCAGTCTACTGGGTTTCTACAGTTGCATAATTTTTCCCTTTTATCGTCTGATTTAAGTGAAGAGTTTTTATTAATACTGTTTTGGCATGGGGGTTTGTTCAAGATCTTATTATTGTGTTTTTTTATTAAGCGTTCAAGATTATCAGAGCAGCTGTAGCTCAATTTTAGGGTGTTCTTATTGAATATATTACTAAGCTTACTATTGGTGGGGAAGTGTTTATTAATTAGAGCTAAGAATTTCTGTCCTAGTTTAATACTAACCCTTTGGTTGAACGGAGGGGTGTACCAAATGATATTTCTTTTCCTGTTTTTTTTCCTTGACTTAAAATATTTTTGCCCTTCCTTGCTTTTAAAGGAGTGCCTTTTTCCCGTGCTGATGTTGCTACATGCCTTACTTCTTGCCTATCTCACACTGCGAATTTTTTCTAATACTAAACATTAAATCTGTTGCGAAAAAAGAACTAAACAAAATGAACACAAAACGATCAGCTTTAAAAAAGGACTCGTAACTGGAAAAACCGAATGAAAAAAGAATGTTAACAACAAATACTTTTTCACACCCAACCCAGTTCTGCGGAATCAGAATCAATGTTGAGTTTAAGCAAGCGAATGAGCCAATTGGAGTAAAGTGCCATGCAGATTTAAATTTTTCCCACTTGTGACGATTGCAGCTATTGATTTTTTTTTGCATGCTAGCATGCTAGTTAAAATTCGTGTCAGTCAGCTGTTGGCTCTCACGCTGGCCAATAGAATCTTCCTGCCTATTCTGGCAGCCAGCTATAGGCTCTCACTCTGGCCAGTACAAAATGGCCGCAAACTACATGAAAACTGCCGTAGAAGCATGAAAAATTGATTATTTCCACTATCGATGGGAGGTGAGAAATGCAAGGTCGGTGTTGGCCTTCCCACTAACTTGGAGCATGTGCATGTACATTTGGGTGCAAATCCGTCAAAAATTGCGGGCATGCATTCGTTACACACACACACACACACACACACACACACACACACACACACACACACACAGATCCTGCCTTTTAAATATATATATATATATATATATGATAAATTATATAAAAACTGTCCTATTTTGAAAAATAAAAACATTTTATAAAACATACATGCAATAAACTATTTCTTATTTAAGTTAAAATATTTCGTCCTTGAAAATGACTAAATGTATAGCCGAAATGTATCTATCTCTCTCTCTCTCTCTCTCTCTCTATATATATATATATATATATATATATATATATATATATATATATAGGATGAACCAAATGTCGGTGGACAGTAAAGGAAAACATTTATTTTGAGATTACATACTAATACAATTAAATTCTGGCATTGTGAAAATGCTTCGCCAATAAGTTGCTTATTGTCCACTGTGCAAACTCTGTCGTCCAGTTTTAATCTTTTTAATCAATCTATCTATCTATCTATCTATCTATATATATATATATATATATATATATATAGATAGATAGATAGAAATAGATAGATAGATGAATATTAACAGATTGATATATATATATATATATATATATATATATATATATAAAGATAGAGAGATATATACGTCAGAAATTTTCAGCACCTCGTCGCTGATTCAATATTCCTAATACTAATAATATTAACACAACGGGAGTCTATACTTAATGACAGATTTTAGTAAAAGAGATTAACCCCTTAATGCCATTTTCTATAAAATAGATATTAATAGGATTAGTACGTTCGAACTTATATCGTGTGTGTATATATATATATATATATATATATATATATATATATATATATATATATATATATATATATATGTATATCACATCACCGTGTTTCATATTCCATTAATCGAATGGTAGGTACTAAATGAATGAGTGAATTAACAGAGAGGGCAAAGAGAGAGAGAGAGAGGATGGAGAGAGAGAGAGAGAGAGAGAGACGTATTTTCCAATGAACAGACATCATTCATTCCTTGCTCACTAATAAAATTAAGTCGCCCCCCCCTAACAAATTCGTTGAAGGATGGAACTTGTGTAAATAACATTTGCCCTCGTTTGCCGACGCCCAATAAATGAACAGAATAAAATCAAAATCAAAATAAAACTCCATGTCACAATAATAACCCTCAACTGAGCAACCCTCGCCCCCCCCACTATTAATTGTTTCGCACTGCAACCTATTACGGTTCAACAAGTAGCATATACAATGTTTTTTACATTATTATTATTATTATTATTATTATTATTATTATTAATGTAGTCGCAACAATTGACACTAATTTGTCATTGTTATTTTGCAAGACGCCAATAGGGGGTGGCGTATATAATTCATTAAAATCGAAAATCTGAAAGAATGGTACTGGGAGGAGAATTTGACCCTGTCATTGTGGGCCACATGGGCTCCAGTGGTTCGATGCACATCCTGTCCGGGCAGGGTGTAAGCAACCTGGGAGAGAGAATGAGTCACTTAGTACAGAGGCTTGTTAATAAGCACTATTGTTATTGATGATATGCGTGTCCTGCTACGAATATGTGGTTGATGGTCGTCAAGGATATATTGGTTACAGGCGGTGGGGGAGTTTATATCTCTCTGTCTATGGAAAACTAAAGTAGATAGATAGATAGATAGATAGATAGATAGATAGATATAAACAGATTGAAATAGATAGATAGATAGATAGATAGATAGATAGATAGATAGATATAAACAGATTGAAATAGATAGATAGATAGATAGATAGATAGATAGATAGATAGATAGATAGATAGATAGATAGATAGATGGCTGTCTAAATTATGCAAAAATG